CCCCAAAACCCCAAAACCCCATGAGATTGTAATAAAAGTGCAAGTTCTTTCTCAAAATCACAAATAATGATACAAATGTTGTAAATAAAACTTAAGTCATCTATAATTCAGACTGATGTTTGAAGATGCGCTGATCGTGTTGAAGTCTAGAGTGGATTTAGCCTCGCTGGATTTAAGCATATGCATGAGTTTAGCATTATCAGCATAGCTGTAATTTCTATTGTGATGAACCCCATTACTCTTGTTCGCCTTTGCACTTCCCTTCTTCGCTGTATTCTCCTAGGAATATCTGAATTTACCTAAACCGCTGACTCCTAACTAACTATTGTCATTTGAAGCCTTGTTTACAGCAGTTTCATTAAGAATTCTTTTGAAAAGCCTTTCTTTCTTATTAGTACTATTCTAAGTATCTTTGAGTACACTCTATATTTGTGAAAATCTGCTCTCTACTCTTATCACAGGAGATGTACTTCTGTTAAATCCAAAGTTGTCTATCGAATCACAATCTCCTCTACGTATTTCTGGCTTTTTACCTATATTAGGCTAAAATGTACATTCCCTTAAGTCATGTTTTGTGAATTCACTCTTCAGTTGCTCTTTTTTCTGCTTAATCTCCTCTTATTTTTGATAAAGTCTATTATGAACATCTGCATGATCTTGAGCTTCATTGAATGATCTGTCTTTTTAAGAATGATTCATATTTAGAGATGAGTTACTCCTATTCTTCATTAAAGGTATTATTGCTGGCTTAAAAGTACAGTTTTATAGCTCTTAGACCATTTTTTGCTACTCAAAAACTCTTACTTTTTAAGATTTCTCGCCCTCTTTGAAGAGATAGTCATAGAATTATTCCCTGGAGGTACTATCACGTGAGGGTTTATCAACATTTATTATTGAGCTTCTTCTGGTTAAAGCAGTAGTATTTGGAATGTGGGTTTTATTGATTAGCTGAATTTATGCAACTGGCTTTCTTACATCTTTAGCAACACTAGATCTATTAGTATTGAGTTGCTTGTTAGCACTTTTTGGCATTATGCTTTTCATAATATTGGTTGGCTGATCAAGATATGAGGCGTTTGTGTTGTCGTGACTTCTTTTTCTTGAAAGCAAATTGTCAGAGTCCTTAAATTTTAATTAAGCTGAGACATTGTTATTGTTGACATGACTTTGGCTTATAGGACTTGGTTAGGGTTTAACTTGAAAGTTTTATGACTGTCTCACACCCTTATTTTACTCAATCTACTACTCTTCAAATTTTTCCAATATATTAAGGGAAATCACTAAAAATAAATATTTCATAAACTATGGATTTATTTAAAGTACCTTTAGCCTCATTTTCAGTCAGATTAAGGAGAAAATCAGTCATAATAGATTCCAATTTTTTGTGAACTGCAAAAATATCGCCTGATTGCTTGATTGTTAGAATGGATTCCGTTAAACTAAATGTTGCTTACTCTGAGAACATACTCTATAAAAGTTATTAAGCAAATGAATGTAGCATATTTATACAAGCTATTTCAAGAAAAATGAAAATTCCGTTAGAATATTTAATCCCGAATTTTACTGTGACATTTACAAATTAATATTTAACTATAAATAATGCAAATAAAGTTCCTTATATATTTTTCGGCTTTTATTATATAATTTAAGTAAAATCATACTATCGATGATCTCGGGGTTTTGGGGTTTTGGGG